TTAGCCTTCGCTCGCTTGTTTTACCGGCAAGTATGGTAGAACGCGCGGAAAAATATCTTAGAAATCAGAGGGAAGTAGCGGTCCTGGGAAATTGCATTCATCGAACTTACACCAACAGGAATGGTGAAAGAGTCATTGGGAGTGAGATCCATGTAAGTGAATTGTTGCCACTTTATTATCCATGGTATAAATGCAACAAGTGCTGACTGGTCTTTCCGTTTGTTCTGAGCACAGAATTTACACATTTTTTTTTCTTGCCTTTTATGGTGAATTCATCCGTACCCTATTAATTCTATTTGTAAAGGACTAAATACCTTTGATCCTTGTCTACTATTGTTCCCGATACCACTAATACCTTATTCCAGCTCGCCACTGAGCTGGTGAACCACAGTGCAAGAAACATATTTCTTACTGGCAAAGCAGGTACGGGAAAAACAACCTTTTTAAAATTTATCCGGGAGACGTGCCCGAAGAAAATGGCGGTGGTTGCACCCACCGGCGTGGCTGCTATCAATGCTGGTGGCGTAACCATTCATTCCATGTTTCAACTCCCTGTTGCTCCATTTCTTCCAGGGAATTTTGTAAATGAGAACGGGGTGAACAAGCATGAGTTGCTGAGCCGGCTTAAGATGAGATCAGAAAAGAGAAAAGTATTACGGGAACTGGAATTGCTGATCATTGATGAGATAAGTATGGTCCGTTGCGATACACTGGATGCAGTAGATACCATTCTACGTTATGTCAGGAATCGACCCAATGATATCTTTGGAGGAGTCCAGGTAATATTTATTGGAGATATGTTCCAGCTACCGCCGGTCGCAAGGGAACAGGAATGGAGTATGATGGCTGAATACTACGACAGCCCGTATTTCTTTGATAGTCGGTGTATACGTGAATCACCACCATTATATATTGAGTTTACCAGGATTTACCGGCAAAGCGATACAATATTTATCGACCTGCTGAACCAGGTAAGGAACAATGAGCTCAACGATGCGGGCAAAGCGATACTCCACAGCCGTTTCCAACCCGGCTTCAAAAGAACCCATGGCGATGGGAACATAGTGTTAACGACCCATAACGAAACCGCAAGACAGATCAATGGAAAAGAGCTGCAACAGCTGGAAGGGAAGCTTTACGAATTCAAGGCAATCATCGATGCCGGGTTTCCATCCAACGCCTATCCTGGTGAAGAAGTGCTGCAATTGAAGAAAGGC